ATGTTTATCAGAACTGAAAAGACATGGGCATTGTTTCAAGTGACAACCGTGTCAGCCAATTCTGTGTCCCTGAGTCAGTATTTCAATGATCATCAGGATTTCTTGTTTTTAAAGTGTAAAATTCAGTGGTGTACACTGATAAAACAATTTAGTTCATTTTTTGTCAAATTACAGCTGGGCCTAAGCATTTGTAGCACCATGTGAGTATCATTTCTCAAGGTCCCTGAAATTTGCAGGATTTCAGTGTAATCTGTTACTGCATTGTGTCTAGGAGTATGCAGCAATTTATTTCATAGAACTCTATGCATTGGTAACATGAGCACTTGGAAGATCTGAATCTCCTCTTCTAGAAAAGACTTGTAAGCACAAAGAAAGGGTAGTAATCTGTTAAAGGTGCACCATGTCCTAATGGCAAGTTTTGCTTTAGAACAGCAGTCAGGTTAGTAAGCAGGGAGGTAGTTCATAAAATGTGAAATATAATTCATTTGAGGTATTTTAGAAGAGTAATTTAATTTAATAAAAATGTGCTGGAATAGTTTTTTGGGGCTTTTTCTTTCAGAACTGGTAACAATTCTATTGTCTCTTCTGTGGGCTTCTGTGCAACCTGAACATGGAAGGAGAGAATGAAATATGAACAATGCAGAAATTAGCAAAAACTTGTTGCTGGAAATGCTTACTGGAAGCTACATGTTAAAAAGATAGGAAAATCTTCAAATTTCTATTCCTGCTATTGTTTTATTAGATTCTATTTCTTGATCCAATGTCCTGTGTTATTCTAAGGACTTGAGGTTGTGCAGTTGATGAGCTGGGTTAGGCAAAAAAAAAAAACAAAACTAAATATCCTTCCATTTTCATTCCATTATACTGAGGACTTACTCCCTGGTTTTAGACAAACCTTTGGTTTCCATGGTTCAGAATTCAATGGTGTGCCAAAAATGTTATGTATCACCTTATCTGAATTTACGTTGACTGTGAATCTGATAATAGTGGGATTGGGATTGCCCAGGGTATTCAGAGCACTAAAGAATTTAGTAGTTTGTATTTCCTTCTTTGTAAAATGAGGTTGATACCTGCTTATTTCACAGAAGTGTCTGTGTGAATTAGTCTGTAAATCCATGGTATTAGCTATTATTAACCTGAGGGAGTGGTGTGTTGGTTTAAGTAGGACATTGAGCTGCAGACTGAGGACTTGAACTGCTTGATGCTCTCTCTGACTTGTATGCTCTCTGATGAACCTTTTTGGCCTTTTCTCTGCCTCAGATTTAGTCATAAAAAAGCATAGAAAATCACTTGATGAAAACCACTGTCATGTCAGTATCATTACTATGAAAATAAAAGCCCTGTGTTTCTGAATAAAGTTATTGTAGAAAATTAGACAGAAGTTTCAACTGAACTGCTTTAACTTTTTAGCTATAATTTGTCAATTAGGCAAATATTTTGTTAATAACTGAAATTTTCTCAGGGATGTCGTTCCCATTTGCTCATTCGTGCTGAGCTTATGCATTTGTACAATGTGTTGAACAATATCTGAAGTACTTAAATTATACATCAACCCCTGAAGTTTATGGCTGGGCTAAACATAAATAGCTTTCTCACTAAGTTTTTGTATGTTCTTAATTTGAACTGTGAATATAAAATAGTATGCATGTATACACACATCTACCTACTTGCATTGAGAAAAGCAAATATTGGCTTCTTATATCTAGAGCTTCAAAACCTGCTGAAGATGTTAATGATTGTGAAGCAGTCCAGTCTATGCTAACATCACAAATGTGTAATTTTGGAAAAAATTAAAATTGTTCCTGCACAGTATCTTTTATCTTCCTTATGACATTAAAAAATATCTCCTTAGTTTAAAGTGTACAGCTTTAAAGAGGAAAATTTATACTCAAAAAAATCACTTTCCTTTTCTTCAACAAATAACAAATGAGGCATTCTGTAAAATCCTTTAAAAAAAATCTAGCATAAAATAGTGGATATTCAAGGAAGTATAGTATAGGAGTGCTACAAGATTTGGATGAACAGACACTTCTGAGGAATTGATTTAATCCTTTTGTGTTTTTCAGATTTGCCATTTGTGATGGCAGAGCTGCATAAAACACTCCTGAGTTTGCCTGGTGATTTAAGCACTGAAGCAACTTATTGCACTTTTCCCTCTGGATCTGCAGGAGTGAAATGTGCATGGTTTAAGTTCAGCCTCAGTGCCACTCTGGCAGCTGTATCATCCTGTCCTAATGCATTTGACTTGCTAATTGTCATTTGAATTTTATGTAAGGTTTGGCTGGTTTTAATCTTCAAGGTCATTTAAATGCTCACAAATTGAAAGCAGTAAACAGCTTGTTTATTGCTTGAAAGGGAGTCAGGTGTCTCCATGGAAACCAGCTTTCCTAGAAATCCCATGAATACTACAGGGAAGTTTCTTTTTTACTGTTTACCTGTAATTGAGAAGTAGAACTCCGTGCTTTATGCAAAATGCTACTGTTTGTTTTCTTCTCTCTCCCAAATAATTGATTTATGGTTCAGAAGCAGTAAAGTACTGAGTAGGGATCTGTTTAAATTACATTATTCATTGGTGGAGTATGAAGGCACAGATGAACAGTTCCAAGATTTAAGGGAAAGGACGAATCACAAACTCTTCACAACTTCAAATAACTTGAAACTTCACTTGCCTCATGTTGTCACTGGCCACTGCAGAAACAGTCAAATTACAAAAATACTTAGGTGTTGGGATTAATTAGCAACAAAATGGTTGGACTCTCCCATGGCAGGGGATTGGAACTTGATCCTTGGTCCCTTCCAACCCAAACTATGATTCTATGACTCCATGCATAATTAAGATCCCTTCTAACTTGGAGTGCTTGATTCTAAATTGTTCAAATAACTTTGAAACTCAAATACAGTAACTGTACCTGAAGTACTTAAGAGCATTTAGAGTAAACATGTTTACTACTTTTGTGGAATCATGACACTTTTTTTTATTGATGATGAATTGTCTGTGCTTCTGTTGGTTTCTGTAGACTTTGCTTGGGCACCTGCCACCTTTACTGTGAAAGTGTTTTTATTGCCATGAAATTGGGAGCATGTTTAATACATTTGGGTATGCATACCTGCTGTTGTATAATTTTGTGTCACAGTAATTGTGGAGGGAGAAAGGACATTTGGCAGTGTAAATAGTGTTTTATAGTAGTGCAGCTTGAACAGGTTTTCAGCTAGGTAGCTTTGGGAATAAGCTATTGCTGCGGATTAGAAGGTACAGGGTTGGAAGCCTCATTGCTGTCACAGCTTGAGTACTGCTGCTAGAAGTGGTGATAGTGACTGACCACAGAAGCTGTGTCACCTACTATTTTGGCGAGTCTTATGTGCTTTTATTTCTGCTACTTTCTTAGATTGCTGCTATGACTAATTTGATTGTGGTTCAAGAAGCAGTGACTTTATGGATGTCCTTGGTATTTTCCTTGTTTTGATAGGAACAAGCACTTGCCCTGTAATACTTGTGATTCTCTCTCAGGAAGTTATGCGTTCTGTTGCTTCTCTTCCTCGGAAGGTTAGTAATACAAAAATCTGTTGAGGAACTGAAGGAAGTAGAGAGGAGCTCTTTGAGACTTTGAGATTAATCTCTGTGCCATGTCCTCTTGAGGAAAACTTGCTGTTGTACATGTCTGAAATTCAGGTAGGAAATATGTGAGTCTTCTGTAACCCAATGACTTACCAAGAGTTTATTGGGTTTTGGCAGTCATCTGCTCAGATGTCATCAAGCAATTTCACAGCAGAGCTTTGGTGGTGGTTGTAGTAGTTCATTTTCATTTGTTTCTTTTGAGTTGTGGCATATGATATGGTCACTCTTTGTGATTTTTCACTGGATGTTATTCAGAGGCATAAATGCAAGAGATTGCATAACCAATAGATAGACTGGGATTGTTTAGCTAGGAGAAGAGAAGGCTCTGGGGAAACCTCATTGCAGCCTTCCAGTACTTGAAGGGAGCATATAAACAGCCTTCCTGCTTATAACGGTGGATAGTGATAGGACAAGAGGGAATGATTTCAAACTGAGACAGGGGAGGCTTAGGTTAGATGTTAGGAGGAAGTTCTTCAACACAGGGTGGTGACGTACTGGAACAGGTTGCCCAAGGAGGCTGTGGATGCCCCATCCCTGGAGGCATTCAAGGCCAGGCTGGATGTGGCTCTGGGCAGCCTGGTCTGCTGGTTGGTGACCCTGCACATAGAGCAGGGGAGCTGAAACTAAGTGATCCTTGTGATTTTTTTCAACCCAGGCCATTATATGATTCAGTAGCATTAGGGGCACAAAACCAGGTCAGGACTTGAGCTAAACAGTTGAGAGAACTCTTCTTTGCCATAGCCTGCCTTCCACTCGCGTATGGTGTGTGGTCTTCATCAACTCATGAGATGCAATGGCTATAAGGCAAAAGGTGATACTATGTCTCACAGCTTCATGATAAAATTATACAATGTGGCTCCATGTGAAATGTACAACTGTCCAGAGTTATTTATTACAAGTTACTTTTTCCAGCTTATGTTCTGCAGTGCTAGTTTTGTGTTTTCTCATAAGAAAAAAGGAATCCTTAAGTATATGATGGCTTGATGTTACCCTGTGAACAGTGTGCTACTAGTTATTTTCCATGCATTTCTTTCTATCCTTTGTAGGTTTATCCAGATGTGATTCTTATCCCAGGTTTGTCTCCTAAATGGCTTTGGTAGGAGCACTAGTTTGCTCTTGAGAATAACTTACTAAATTGTACAAGTGCTTATCAAGAGACATGCTTTATTAACCTGTTGGTTGGCACACGTGATCTGCACTGTTTTGCATTCTTTTGGCTTTGAAGTGATTTGCATCTTCCTTGACAAACTAATAAAGCAACATTTGCTATTGCAAATGGCTTTGTGGTTACAGTTGCCTAAGGGCAGTTTTTGCATACATTAGCCTGCATGCTGATGGGGCAAAGTCACCGATTTCCAGATAGATTCCAGAATTCATGAGCTACTTCAATTTAGAATTCTAACTCCTTTAAAAGTGGCAGTACTTGCTTGCATCAGTTCTGGAATATAATCAGTTGAAATATTTCAATAGTGTTTTTTTTTGTCTTGTGCTACCGATACCAGCATAAGATAAATGATAACCTCTATGGTGATTATGATTGCATGCATTGTTACTTCAGTGCTTTGTACCAGTAGCCCATTAGCGTATATAGATAAATGCCTCTGCTGATGGCTGGTCCTGTTGAACTCAGTAAATATCTGAGGATAGAATTTTGTGTGCGTTGCATCAGTGCATGATGGTGAAGGTAGAGATTGAGGTGATCACATTGAAAGGGGTATCAGGAGTACTGGCCATTTAGAAGAAATGCTCATGCACAGTATGCTGATTGACATCTTCATTCCTAAATGACAACTACGTCTGACTCAGTCACTGTACAACATGTGAGTGTTGCTGATCCTATTGCAGTGTGTTTGGTTGCTCGTAGTATCCATTCAGCTCCTCTAAACTCCTGTAAATGAGGAGGAAGTGCCTAGTGAGAAGGATGTATCCAGCCAACCTTGGACTCGATTTTTGCAGTGAATCTTGTCTAATATTAATGTACAGAAGAAAGCATTCAGTTCTGAAAAATTGCAAAATACATGGATCTGAAATTCAGATGGGGGAGGAAAAAGGTACTTTAGTGTTTCATGCCTGGAAAAAAAAAAAAAAAAACCCTAACAGAATGTAACATTTGCATTCATCCTTTTTTTTAAAAAAATCTACTTTTATTTCTGCCATTTTAAAGCTGCTCTACGGTTGAAGAATGAAGAGCAGCGAAAACTAACTGTAGGTCATACATCTGGAAGAACAAGGGAGAAGTTTTCCGCCAATGAAGAAGTTAAGTATTGCTCTGATTTAAAAACCGCTCTGGAGTTGAGGGATAAACGACAACAAAAACTGGGTGTCATTCGTCCATCTAGAGGAACAAGGAAAAATTATTCTTTCACAAATGAAGAAGTTAGACGAATTGATCAGGAAAACCAGAGGCTGCTCCATGAACTGGCCCGGCTGTGTGCGACACCGGGAAGCAGAACCAACGTGCTGAAGAAGTCGGCTTCTCCGTCTCTTCAAGTGTACCACAGTGCCATCAACAGGCAAAAAGAGCAGCAGAGGATTGAAAAAGAAAACCTGGTGAGTTTTGAGGACTGCTTTGGATCGGTAAATTAAGGACTGTTTATTATTAACGAATCACTGCTAAATACTTAAAAACTGATTAGGCAGCACTTCAGATTTCACTGCACTAAGTCTGCAATGAATTTCCACAACTATGCTGTTTGTATAATTGTAAATTATGCTTTATTTTCAGATGAAAATACATTTTACTTAGTGTGCCCTACTTTTTAATGCTATTCAATTTAAGGGTAATTTTCTTTTCCATAGTCACAATTTTGCATAGCAGTCAAAATGTTTGTCCTACTTTATGCATTACAATTACTGATTTTTTTTTTCAGGAACAAGCTTGCAGAATATAAAGCAATGGATATGACAGCATCAAACCCTTTACATTTGAAACAGGATACAGCCACTTTTTTCTGAATCATAACTATCCATCCATTGCTTTCCATACTTGTAGCTCTCTGCTTTTCTCTGTATGTATGTACAGGAGGGCAGCTCGTACTGGCTTTCACCAGTAGATGACGCTGTTGATTAAGCAAACTGTTGCCTTTTCCGAAGGTATGGTCAGTGCTTCACTCGAATGGAAATGGATTGAAGTGTGACTGACGGGTTACTCTTTTCCCATGTGTGCTTGGTCTCTCCACTGTTATATGCTTATCTCAATTTCTGCCAGTAAAAGTGTAAAACTGAGCTTCAGAGGCTGAAAACTACATGTCCTGTTTTGACTTTTAGTGGTCTGTGTGGTACGCAATCTGTATAGTATATCAATGTAAATATTTATAGGCCTTTTAAGGTCAGATTTTCAGCCACTACATCTGTATAATCAGTGAGTATACAGGTGTATAATTGACAGGTATACAGAGAAGTTAGGCAGGTCTTTAGAGAGCATGTAGCTGGAAACATTATGATGTTAGAGAAGGCTAATTGGAAATGAATGGAAAAGCTTACTTGTGTCCTGGGCTCGCAGAAAAAGACTCCAAGAGGAGTGATCTCCAGGGAGAGATCCTTTCTAATGGTAGTCACCTTTTAAATGGGGTCTAGGAGAGGTGCAGCCAGGCTCCACACCTTCCAGTCACACAGGTGAATTGTCTTCAGCTTTGATCCCATGGCTGACTCATTTCTTGTCTCAGGTGATCAATCAGAGGTTCAGGCTGTGATTCAACAGTTCCCATGCATAATTCCTCCATTGCTTTATCTAAACTTAGACGTAAGTAATTTGTATCTGCTTTTTTTCGTTGTTGAATAGTTGGTTTGTTTTCTCAGACTAGGATTTAAGCGTGCTAGCAGGTTAGCTCACTTAGGTCATCTTTGTTCATCCAAGTTCCTTGTGGACAGGTGACCTATAGGGTTTCAGTGGAAACTGAGTGGAAAATCTTAGCAGGTCTGGGACGGCAATTCCCAGCCCTAGATCAAGGGCAGTGAGGATGTTCTCTTTTGCTGTGGCATTTGGCCTTTCTGTGCATCCCTGTGAATTCTTCTGACCCATGCTGTTACACCTCACTGCACGTAACAGTCAGTGTCATTCATTCACTTATGTTGTACTCTCCTGAAATGTACTCTGTGTCCCACCGGATACAGCTGATCTAGTATAACTGATCCAGCTCTAGTATAGTCAGCCTCCCACACAGAAAACTAGCTTACCCTGTTTCCCTGTAGGGGCTGGCTTCCTTTTCCATGTGCTTGGCTCCGCAGACCCCAATGCTGCAGGTGTCACTAGAGTTTTTTCCTCCTATTTTGTCTGGGCATCGTGGCCTCTACCAGTGCACAAATCCTCCAGCCAAACTGCTTCCTTTCTCCTGCACCTTGAGCTGCTTTCGTCTTGCTGGCTAATCTGAGCTTCCCTGGAAGAGGAAAAAAACACTTTGCAGTGGCTGTAATATGTGCATTTATCTCCAGTTGATTCAAGAATGCTGATGGGTTGAGATATTCAGAGGGGGAGAATGGGCAGGGGAGTGAGTGTCTCTGGCTGTCACCACATGCAAAGAACACACAATAAGTTTAGTTTGGGCCACAGCCTTTAGTCTAGTGCTGCACTGCAGCTCCTGTGATGTCCACATCATGCTGCAGAGGATACCACTTCTTGGTGTGGAAACGAGACTAGGAGGACATGAGCACACACTGGTTGTGCCCACGCACTTCATGCCTTCCTCATGAATTCTGTGCTGCTTCTGCCTTCTTTCCATCCCTTTCCCAGGGACCATTTTCATATCTGAGAGCACCACACCTTAGATGTCACGTACTTAATGTGATTGTAGGAAGAATTTTGAGGTTGCTTTGCCTTACTGTTCTCTTTCTGGAAGAGCTGTAGGAAACCATCGTCTTAAGAGGTCAGAAATACTGGAATACAGAAGCTATTCAGATGTGAGATTGGTATGCAGATGCACCTGGCTAAAATAGACTGCTGTAGAGTGTACATGTAGTGCAACTCTGTGTTCTGAGACTGTAGGCTCTTCGTGCTGATTCCTTACCCAGGCCTCTATCTTAGGTCTGGGTAAGATAAAGACTCCCTAATTACCAGGTTGGTTTGGTTATTTAGCACACTGCTGAGTTTGGTGGTTTTTTCCCATCTTTTGTATTCTCCTAGCTTGCTTTCTGTGGATGCCAGCTCCAGATCAACATGGCATTTTGGTTAGAAGTACTTTTCTGTAGACTGAAAACTTAAAGAGGTTTCTGATGTTAAAAGTTTGTGAAGTTAGAGCTAAGAAACGTACCTGGCAGTTGAAGGAACTTGCAAACCCTCTTGTCAAGAACAAGAAGCTGTCCCTGAATGCACTGTTATATCTGCTTCACCCTCCCCCACCTGGGCTCTGCATAGGGACAGTGTGTTTGCTAGTGAGTGACATTAGAGGAGGCATAATATAAATAAATCTGAACAGCTGTCAAGGCACACTAGTCAGCTGGCTACAATTCAAAGGTGGTGAAAACTGAAGCCTTCATATGTTTAAAAAGCTAAGTAAAACAAGAAAAAGTAGCATCTTTTACCTTGGAAGGCTTTTCTCCAAGCTAGGAAGTTGTCAGTGACGTTGTTAGATCCCTTTTCATGACAGAGGAGAAAACAGTAGTGAAAATAGTTGACTTTCTGAATGGTTGTGCAATCTTACTGAGCTTGAATCAGACGCTCTGAGCAGCTACTATTAAGAGCAACTGATAGATTGCTGCGTTTATGTTTGTTATTCAGTTTTCTCTGTAAATCCCATTAAGAACATGTCTATCTCTAAGCACCTGGATTACTTAGTGTGATTTGATTCTTTGCTTCTTAAGGTCAATGACAATTTCTATTACTTCAGTAGTTCAGGATTAAGACTACAGAGATTTAGCACTTCAGAACAAGGAAAGTGCCAATGTTCTTTAATCCATTTCTGAAAATGTTCTTTTAAGGAGAATGTAGGGGAAGAATTAGCAGGTTTAAATGGGTAATTGAAAAAGAACATTATTTGTAGAAGGTAGTTCCCTGGTACACAAGACAATAGGCTTGTTAGTAGAAAAACATAAGAATTGGATTAGATATATGACAGACATAACCAGATCAAGTCTGACAGTTTAGTGTGTTGATGAGTGCACATCTGTATGAAGAAGGCTGTGTCAAACTGCAGGATTCAAGACCACAAGTAGCATGTAAGTTACATGTCCTTGGTACAGTGCTCACCAGAGGGTAGGGGTACCATGAGAGCTATTTTCTAGCTCTACGGAAGCTTTTCTTAAAACAGAGATGGAGTCACTCTAGCACTACACAATCTGCTCTTTCTGTAGGTAAGGATTGTATGATGTCCAGTCTTAACCTCTTCAAAAAACAATCTTTTCATACTGGCAGTAGTCTGTCTTTGCTTTTAGTAATGTGGGCTTAGATGCTTTTTAAAATACAGACCTAATAGTAAAAGCAGATTGTATTTAAACTGTGATTAAGCGGGTATATTCAAATTCATGTGTTCAGAATCAAGCTTGAAATTATTGCAGTGTTAAGATATGCAAATTCTGGGGCTGTAAGGGGTAGAGTGCGGACTTGAAATGACTTTCACAGGGAAGAGAAAGTTGCTTCTACTATTTACCTATTTATGATGAGAGCATCCATTTATAACACAGAAGATAAGTGTTCTTTGCAAACCCATATGCATGTAGTTGTGTTAAAAGATGGTGGTGAACTTGCATGTAAATTGTTGGATGTAACATTTAGAGACGTCTACCATTTTGTGTTCTGTAACGGACTTTAGTGAAGAGCTATTTCTAGCTGGAGTCCTTCCTTTGACTTCTGCTTACTTAGGTATTTCCACTTGAGAGTGAACTGGCTGGCACTTGATGCAGGAACTTGTGACATATTATGCCTGAGCCAAAATGGCTTGTCCTTTCTCTCCTGCACACTGTGCAGGTTTTCAGTCCTGTGTATAAACTCTTGGTAGTTTGTACATTCCCATTACAGCTGGTCAGTGGCAGCTAACATCACATGAATACCATGCAGTTTCCCAAATTGCTTTCTGTGACTTTTTTCTTCTAAAGCAATGAAAATACCATTTTAACAAAACAGAAATAAGCAAACAAAAAAAAAAAAAAAAAAAAAAAAAAACACCAACAGTAACCAAGCCCTAAACAGAACCTATGAGTAGATGGTGGGAGAAAAGAGGGGAGCAGTGGGAGGAGATAATCACTTCATATAGAGTGCAGTTTAATAGCTATGTGGGTTCTTGATGTCTACCATGTAAGTAAGCATTTAGATAATGCATCCTTATTAATAGTGGTATCATTTGTCCTTTGGAGATTTGTGCAATTGCAGTTTGCATTGTTTCTCATTGATAGGATGTGTTATAACTCTGACCAATGGTGTTGTCACAAATTAAATTAGTTAGCAGAGAATGCAAATGATCTTTTAAATAATCTTTTAAAAGCAGGTATTGGAAGCTAAATATATTAAAAATATGAACTTGTTAATTGGAAGTTGTATGTAGCAGAGTCCTTCCAAATTTGTCATACTGTAAGGTTCTTTTCTTAGAAAGATGGTGGAAAGTGAGATGCATTGGTTTAAGAATTTCAAGCAAAAGTGATAATGAAGTTTGAGGAAAATGGATATATCTTTAGAAATATTATGTAGGTAGCTGTTGTGATGTAATGCTTGCTATGTAATTGTCAGGGTTGATCTCAGTAAGAGGAAATAATGGAAATAATGTCTATAAGAGATCATAGTTGAAATTATTACTAAAAGTGTTATGGGAAGACATTCATGAAGGCCAAAGTGAAGAAAAAAAATAAAAAAATCCAACACTGTGCTTTCCTTTTTAGTTTCACAGAATTGAGGTCAGTAGTTCTCTCTAGGGATACTGGAGTGTAGGTGTCTGGCCTTGTGGCTTCCCTGGGCCTCATTGAGTGACGAGGGATTGTCTAGGGCCGCATCTATGAGGGCTGCTCTGAAAGTAACACCTACTTATTTCCTCGGGAACAACAGCAGATACCAGGAGCACAGTAAATGATTTAATCAAGCCTGTTCTCGGCTACAGAACACATTTTCACCACAGTCACCACCACTAGCTCTGTATTTGCATCAGCAATGAACAAGAGCCTGCATGCTGCACAAACAGCAATCTTAACCAGCAAAGGTACTGTCTCTGCTGAAATGCACCACTCACGCCCTCGCTGTGCTTACATCCACTATTTGGTCTCTAGCAATGTTCAGCCAGTATTGATGAATGTCCCCAGGTGCCATTTTTTTTCTGCATGGAGGAGGAATTCAATGATACACCTTTGCTTCATCCACGCTTCCCTGTCAACAGACCATTCTGTCAGAGTGCCCCTCTGCTGCCATCTGTTTGGGATAGTATGTACTAGTCAGCAGTAAAGTTGTTCATGTTGGAAAATACCAAACATTGGTGGGCTTATTTTTTTCCATTTAAAATAGATAGAAGTCTCTGAATGCTTGTTTTATAGTTTCTTGTTCATTCTTTCTCTTGATGTTTTTCTTTGATATCAAGGCTTTACTGAAGAGACTGACAGCAGTGAAGCCAACACCTGGAATGAAGCGTTCCGAACAACTGTGGGACTATCAGCGTTATGTGAGCTATGCAAGTGCTTCACCGTCTGCAAGAGAAGAAAGTTCTCTTTCCAGGCAGCATGGTCTGTCTCGTGAGTACTCTGAAACTGCAGGTTCTTGCGTTCGATCACTAAACTGAATTTGTTAAGCACGCCGAAAGTATGGTCAATCTCTGAATTGTTTATTTACCTTCCTAAATTTCTAATAAATGGTTTTGTTAAGAATCTTTGCCAAGAAGGTTTAAAAAAAAAAAATCATCGTAAATATTTTTCAATTTGTCAGTACTTCCTATAGAAAGGACTAAGCAGGGGGAGGAAGCTCTAGCTCTTTTTTAGAAAGTGTAAATCTACTAGTGGTAGCTTTGCTTCTCTGGAAGTAGTATGTGTAATATTTGGAAGTGGGTCATTTATCTCCAGTGATCCATGTACAGAGAACCATTGCACTGTGGCATACACTCAGTATTTTTTGTTCTGACTGTGTATAAGTGACTCACAATGTTTTAGCTCTGTATTCAATTTAGAATGATTGTGTGGATTTTTTTATATTTTGTTTGGGAAATTATGATAATGAATATAGTAATGTAATGTAGCATTAAGCTTTCTGACATGCCTAGCATTAGCATTAATACCTCTTTGTGTATGTGTTAATAGGAGTCCCTTCAAGAACATACACTGCATCAAGCACAATGAGGCAGAAGAAGGAAAAGCTTATGTCAGTTTCACCTACTGGGGCATCACAGAGACCTAAATCCACTAATGTTCATGCTGCTTGTTTGTAAGTGCATGCTTTGCTTCACAATTTGCAATGTTCTATTGGGTTTCTATTTTCAGCAAGTGCATGTGTGGAAAATATTCTCCATTGTTTAATGATTTAAATGCATAGTAAACTAATGGCTTATTAAATGGTTTCATGCATATGCTCTTGCATCAGTCAGTGTTTTCTATGAGAGGGAGTATTTATGAAAGAGAAGCATTTAAATATGTGGTATGTAAGTGGAATTTGTGTCTGTGACATGGGAGGACAGAATTGCTGTACTCTAGAACTTAATTCCTAGTCTGGTACTTCTCATCCTGGCTTTAGGTAAGTCTTCTGAATGTTTAGGTCATGTTCAGATGTCTCTTTGAAAGAATCTTCCTTTTATAGCAGCATAAAGAGGTAAAAAGCTAGAATACAGATATTGCAGAAGGTGTTACTCTGCCATGATTATAGATGGCTCAAAGTGATGAGATTCATTTTGTATGCAAGGCTGTCTCTCTTTGATACTTAAAATGATTTTGGAAGTTACACTGGGACCTTTGCAAAGGGAAGAAGCATACGATGCTCTTTCAACACCAGAGACTGAAGTTTGAAGTGAACAACAGTTCCAGATTTACTCTAAATAAGTTTTAGATTCTTCCCAGGCTAGAGAATAGAAAGCAAAGGAATCATTTCATGGCTGTGCTTTTGTATATCCTTACCTGTAAGTGGGAGATAAAGCTTGAGCTGAAAGAAATTTTCAACATTTGCTTATGAGGGCAACTATTTACCAAGATTAAAAAAAAGAGATTCAAAATAAAATCTTATGCTTTGTAGCCCATTTTTACAATGTTAGGTTCACACCAAATGTTTATAGTAGTGTCCAATAGACAGGCTTCAGTATTATGTCCATTTATAAGGGGAGCAAAATTTAATGTGGTTGTCAAAACTTAATGTAGTTGGCAAGTGTAGTAGGTGCCATGCTTCATTTCTGTCTGTGAAGGCAAGCTTAGAGTGCGCTTGTTTTGTTGGGCTGCAGTCTTATGAAAAGCATAAATTGCGATGCTGCTGTCTGTAGCTGTTGTTAGGAATCCTGCTTGCTTTCCCAACGTCTTCGTGGGAGAGGTACAGAAAATCTTTGTATTGCGTGTAAGCAAAAAAGCTGTATTTGGTAGTGTTGTCTTGGCCTTACAAAAAAAAAAAAAGCAAACTTACTATTCTTTACTCATGCTTGCACAAGGGTCTATGCTCTCAAGTATTCTGCATAGTAACAAACTTTTTGCTGGGTCCTGTATGGTAGTTTGGCAGAGCTTCTGCTCCTCGTGACCTGCAGATCACATTTAGCTGTTTGGCAATATTTAAACTTTTATCTTGAAGCAGCATTGTGGCAAACAGATTTTATTACAATTATTATGTGTTGATAAGGAGTATAAGGCATTCTTTTGCATAGAGCTGCTGTGTTTATTTATAATATTGTGCTAGTTAAAATTATTCACCATTTGAAGACTTCTGTCCTTGAATGTGAGTATCAAGGTCACAGTTCAATACTTCTGAATGTTCACATGATAATTCTCTTCTGGAAAGGAGCTTCCAAAATGGATTACTTTTAATAACTTCATTTTATTTAACTTCAGTATGAAATACTGTCCATTTTTTGTCATTTTTGTAAACTGTAAGAAAATGAGTAACATGGAATGGTTGCTAGTACAGTGACTTTTCATAATTCTATATCTGATATTAAATTGCAAAGGATGTAATTGGAGAAATGCTTACCTGCAGTGGAGATTGCACTTATCAGTGACACTGGTGTGTGGTAGATTTCTTTGTTTTTGGTTTAAATAAGCTATATAGACAGGTTTTCATTGTTAGCTGATTTCAATTTTTATAACAATAAATTCTAATAGATTCTGTCACTTTATGTTCTCTCCTGCCTTTTTCCCCCTCCCAATTTTTTCAAAACAGAAAGTGTAAGCAGCATCCTTAAATTTTAATTCCTGGGAACCTCAGACTTTGAACAAGTTGGAAGAATCAGGCAAGGCCATTCTTCATATGGAGTTCATAGGATTTTCTCTGTACCAGAGCCTATCTTCTGCCAGATTGTTTGCAGCATTTACTGAAGATCCTGAGGCATCTCAGCTGGTACCCCTCACTCAGATAAGCATTGGCTAGCTACATTTGTCTTGTATGGTGGGTGTTTTCCTACTTGTCAGCTAAACAATTTCAGGATAAATCCCTACAGATAGCTGATATTTTTCTTTCTAACATGTCAGCCAATAAAGTTTCCTTTTGACTCCTTTTCCTTGTACGCTCCCTCCATCTGTGGTGTTTGCCTGCTCAAAGTCAGGAGCAAAATAGTGGATGAACCTTGTCATTTCCATCTGATGAATGAAAAATTCAGAGCTGCATCTGGAGCCATCTTCCAGGACAGATTATGTTTGAGATCAGCTTTGTATTCTGTGTACCAGGAGGGGTTGCTAGTGCTTATGATGCAGGTCTGGTTTGTCTTTGGGATGTTAGTTCTATTTCCTTGTTCAGGTAAACTTCTCTACATCTGGTAAGTTTCCTCCTGGTCCAAATGAGACAGGATTTGCCAACAGTGATCTTTGCCACTGTGTTATTTAAAGATCCCTTGCTTCTCATTACAGAGACCCAAGATGCCATTATTTTTGTTGCAAGCTCTGATCATGTGCAAAAATTGTAATAATAAGTTATGTGTGGTGAGAGCTTGGGACAAAACTCACAATTCTCAGTTCTGCCCACACACTACTTCTCAAGACTAGAACATACTATTGAGAGATTTTTCTAGTTTAAAGGGCCAGAAAGGAAAAACAGGGCTGAGCAAGTGTCTTTTAGGGTTTTTCTTCTGCTGTGCCTCTCAGCGTGCCTTAAATTCTTCTGTTTTCTTTTGTTTGTTTTTAAAAACTGGTGGCTGCTGTTCCTTCCATAACAAGCCTAGAGCTGAGAACACAGGTTTTCACCTGCAGAAAGGTAGGGAAGACTCTACTTGTGGACATAAATTCTTCCCCTTCCACTCTCTGCAGTATGCTGTGTTCTTTAGAGAGCGAGGTTTCCCTTTCAGATCCACACTGAAGGTCCTAACCTCTTGATCCAAAAGATAAATCAGTGCCCTCCCTCACTGGGTTGCTTTCTGGGTTGTGTGGTACAGTCCACACGTTTGGTGGTGGGTGGGCTTTGTCCTTCTCTACTTCTAGAATCTTTTCCCAGATATTCAAGATATTTCCCTCTGTTTGAGTTACAAGGTAATAGTGATGATTTCAGCGCAGGGTTCTGCTGAATAACTTTGAGGTGCAGATGGATTGAAGTGGCGCTAGCGGAGGGCTTATTTCACTGTAGTAGCAAAGTGTCTGCAAAACTGCCTGCAAAGCTGCCTGCTTTCCAGCTTTGCAGAGAACTGGATTTTATGCTGAGGGAACAGTGCTGCTTTTAGGAGAGTGGTTATTCAACTGATGATTTTTGAGTTCATACACCAAGTATCTTTGTGGAAAGTGCTGCTTGTTAAATGCCAAAGTGTGTGTGTGAGCATATAAGCAGAAATAAGGAATTTTTTATCTGTATTTTATAATGTATTATTTCACCTACTTTCTTCTCCAGAGGAATTTTCCTGCAATGATTTTTTTTTTTTCCCTTCTGAACAGCCTTCACTCCATTTTGTTTTTTGCCTTCTTTTCTGCAATGTTTCAGAATATTTTTTTCTAGAATTAAATAAAATCCAGGATGTTTGTTCTTATTTAGACCCTTCTGGAAATTCTTCTGCTTTCTCTCCTTTTAGTATTTTTTCATGCATAAATTACCCCCAAAGTTTGGTACCTTGGACATTGTTTTGAATATTTTGGAGAAGATACTAAATGCCATATGCACTCACTTTGGTGAGGTGAATGGTTAGTGTGTTGGCATACTTTCTCTAAGGAATATGCAGAGGAAGAAGAAAAGACAACATGCAGGCCATGATTTATAAGACTACTGCAGTAAACACCTTGATTTTCTTCGCAACCTTATGCTTCAATAGGTTACAACCCTGGTTATTTGCCACCAGGCAGAAAACACATTTAAAGAGGCACTATCTGTCAGGAGATAGAGCAGAAAATAACCCTAGAAGCTCAGGAATGAAGCATTTGTCGAAGTCTATAGTAGTAGTGTGGTTTAAGCAAAGGAGCTTCCTTTACTAGGGCAACCAGCAGTTAGCTGTACGTCTTTGGGTAATCTGAAAATTTATTATTTTTAAGACCAACTTTCCCTGAATGCTGCTATTCTTTGGGTGGATGAAATGCCTCCAGCTGTAACTTTAGTACCTTGTTGCTGCTTTCACAGAGCATTCACACCCATAAGGACCATCGTGTTAAGTGACAGATCTGAGAAATCTGAACTACAGGAAAGGGAGAACTAGATGCCAAGTCACAGAATCTGGAGGCTCATTGCTGTCCCTTTTCTCCTATTCATAAAACAGGTAAAGCCTGAAGCCTCTCAGCTGAATACTCCACTATAAAAATGCCATAGTGAATAACCATGAAAAGTTCTTAACAGACATGTCCAATATTAACCCAGAGTGTCTCCAAATACATTAGTTCTGGTAGACCTGTTCCATTTACAGTGAAAACAACAGGAAGAGTTCATATATATTAATTTATTTCATGAGTTCAGTTTTAGTTCAATTGAACATCAGAGCAGACAACTTCTTGCTTTGTGAGAATAGGGCATTTTTAACAATATTTCCACCTTCTACAAAGTACAATTGAAAACAGTCATTATGGTCTGGTTTTGACCACAACTGCCTAACTTGTCAGTGAAAAGGCAGCAATTAGGAACTTGCAGCCCATTGTTGTGTTATATAGTTTGCAGATATTTATGCTTACATATCAGATTAAAAAAATAAGAACTTCAAAGAAGATGACATGGCTTATAAAATCATGTTGTATCATCATGGTGATGGGTAGCTAGAGACTTTACTTAGTATAAAAGGTATTTCTCACTTTGAGTTTACATTAGATTTTAAACTAGGTGTATACCACCTACATCTCATCTCTAGTCAAAATGCTTTACCTGAAATTTGAAAGGGTGTAATATATACATAGCTTCCAATATAAATGTTGGAGGAATTTCCATACAAAGTGCAACTGTGCTGTAGTGAACAGATTTTAAATAAATGCATCCCTCTCTCAACTGGATGTTACTCAAGTCTTATTCTGTTTCCCTAGGAAATATTTTGTTGTCCATTACATCACAATAGTTATTTTAAAAAGTTAATTGAGAACAACTGAACTACATTAGGATGTTAAGTTTTAGACATACTTCTTGATTTCATCATAAAGTACTAGTACAAAAGCTCCACCCATGCCTCTCAACACATTTGACCAGGCACCTTTGAAGAACGCTTTGGATCCTTCATCTTTTGCTATCTTCTTCCAGCAATCAATTGTGCCCTTGTACATAATATCAGCTGTGGAAACAAATGAAGGTCATAAGGTTGAGCTACACAGCAAGTCTGTTTCAATTTCATATTTAGAAAAACAGGCAGGGATAAACGAAACATAAGAATTTCAAATGAAATAATCAGTTCATAAAGTCATTTTAATTCACCATATGAAATCTAAAATAAACAGTCTCATAGATGACCACACTGAGATAACCAGAAATTACTGCAGAGTGTACTAAAACATAACCAGAAGTTTCCTGTAGGGTTGTGGAAAACCAACAGCCCTTTCACAGAAATCCCTCACAAAAGCTAAACACCACTACACCACTACCTTGCATCCTAATGAAATAATACTTTAATCCTTTAATGAAATAACACTGCCAGAACACCACAGGAACAAACTTATTCTTACCTCCCTTTCGTCCAGACTGCATCATCATCCTACGTCGCACAGTATCAAAAGGGTACGAAACCAACCCTGCTGCTGCAGTGACACTCTGGGCAATCATCCAGCTCACTATGATGTGCACGTTCTTTGGATCAGGCAACATACCTGCCACCAAGAACAAATTAAGAGTGAGTACAGAAGGGAAAGCATTATGAGAAAGATGGCTCTGGAAGGAGCAGTCACCCACCAAACCCAGAAGTCACTCAGTCTGGTCAACAGGAGCATGCCTGCAACTTCTCACTTTGTATTTCACAGTGAACAGCTGCTGAGTGAAAAAAGTTTATAGGATTATGGTATTTTGTGATCTATAGACTACTTGACATTCCCTGACCAGAAGCTCTCAGGCACAGCCCTCTGGGGGCTTCAAGGAGGGACAAGCTCCCATATAAACATTTAGGAAAAAAAACAACAAATAATTACAACTGCAAACCTACAGCTTCTGCCTGGAGCAGCAAGTTGAGGAAGGCAGGAATGCATTTCAGAAACACATGCACATACTCCAGCACTAGTTCCCCCAAAGCAGTACTAAGCCCAGCCCTGCTCATCCTTGTAGGGCAGGGTGCCTTAGCAGGCCTTTTCTGGTTGGATCTTCCCTCGCAGCCACCACTCCATCCGCTTCTTACCCTTGGCTGTGTCATAAACCCCAAAATAGGCTGCTCTGTAGATGATGATGCCCTGGACAGACACATTGAATCCCTGGTACAGGCCCCTCAAGCCATCGGACTTGAAGATCTTGACAATGCAGTCGCCCAGCCCCGTGAACTCCCTCTCGGCTGCTCCTTTGCCCACATCAGCCGCCAGCCGGGTCCTGGCAAAATCCAGCGGGTAGACGAAGCAGAGCGAGGTGGCTCCGGCCGCGCCACCAGATGCCAGGTTGCCCGCGAAGTAGCGCCAGAACTGCTTGTGCCTGTCCACTCCCCCCAGGAAGATCTGCTTGTACTTGTCCTTGAAGGCGAAGTTGAGGGCCTGGGTGGGGAAGTAGCGGATGACGTTGGCTAGATTGCCCCTCCAGAAGGAGATGATGCCTTGCTCCTTGGGGATGCGGATGACGCAGTCGATGATGCCCTTGTACTGTTTCTCCGCTGTGATCTGTTTGCTGGCGTGCTGGACCTGGAAAAGCAAGAGGAGGGTGGGAGGGCAGGGCAGTGAGAAGGACGCGGCAGGGTCACCCCGCACGCCGGCCGGCTAAGGGCAGCGAACGCCCGCCCGCCGCCTGGCCCCGCTCCCGCTCCCCGAGGAGCCCGGGCAGCTCCCGCGAAACCGGAGCCGGCCGAGCGCCTTCCCATATTTAGGCACGCCGGGTCGCGCCCGATCCACCTGTGGCGCAGCTCCGTCGGGCTCCGCCGCCCGCAGCCCCCCGCGCCCCCCGCCTCCTCACCTGCAGCAGCAACTTCACTCTCTCGATGGGGGCGACGGCCGTCTTGGAGATGGCGGCGGCGACTCCGCCGGCCAAAAAGTCCTTGAGAAAGCTGAGCGCTTGGTCACCCATGCTGGGAACCGGTCCAACACCCCCTACCCGAAGAGAGCCAACGAGCCACACACCTCCCCACCCAGCAGCCCCCCGCCGCGCCCCGCCGGCCAAATGGCCCAGAGCCCCGTGCCGCCCCGCTTATAACCCGCGGCCTCTCGCGATAGGAGGAGGCGGCCCCCGGGGCGCGCACATTGGCTGGGACCCCCCAGGGCCCGCCCCCGCTGGGGAGCGCGAAGCAGCGCCGCCATGTTCCCTCTGGAGGCACGGCGAGGGCCGCCGGTCTCGGGACGTTTAAAGGGCAAATTAAAGTTATCTGGCTGCTGTGGGGAACGCGATGTCAGAGCATGTGCCTGCTGTATTAATAGCTCGCAGGAGGCACCCGAGGGGACCGAGAAAGCTTGCAGGAATACCTCGGGCGGCAATAACTGTTTGTAGGGGCTGGCGGCCGGCGCTGAGGGTGCTGCAGGCACAGGCTTTGTGTGCGTGGCCTCGAACCTGTGCGGTGCGTGCTGCGGGAGGTCGTCGGGCTGCCGAGCCCCCGGGGAAAGTGATCATAGAATCACAGAGTGGCCTGGGTCAAAAAGGACCGCGATTATAATCTATTTTCAACCCCCTGCTATGTGCAGGGTCGCCAACCACCAGACCAGGCTGCCCAGAGCCACATCCAGCCTGGCCTTGAATGCCTCCAGAGATGGGGCATCCACAGCCTCTTTGGGCAACCTGTTGCAGCAATGTGGTAATGTGCACGTGTATGTGAGCATTTGGGGGAACTAGAAATGGGTGCAGCCTCTGCAAGGCAAGGACATGGAATCTCCTCGTGTCTGATGCAGTGTGAGCCTACCAGCCTTGAGGTCTTCAACATCCCGGCATGTTCCAGAGGCTGCCTTCCCATAGAAGAGGCAACGTGCCCTGGTTTCAACCCGGCAAGGTCAGACCCTCTGCAAGCACTGCAGTCAGTCACCCTTCCAGGAAGCACATGCTTGGAAATGCTCAGGTTGCTTGACTCGCACCCTGTGTGAGAGATCAGTGAGGACTGCAGCAAAACCTTACCTCTCTTCAGTGCAGAGGGAAGCACTTCCGTCTCAAATGCGGGTTACGTGGCCTTCTTCACATGTTCCCTCTGCCTGATGTCTGTACAAGCTTGTGATTCGCTGTTGCATGGAGTAGTTATGTGAAAGCCAGTGTAAAAAATTGTAAGTGTATACCAAGGAATTTGCCTTAAAACAGTCATCATATGTGGTTCTAGGATGATGCTGTACTGAGGAAAGCTAAGGTTAATGAGGTCAGCCTTAATTCAGTAATATAGTATCAATAATGGAAATAGAATTCATCTTAATGTAGGTGCTAAAAGATTGGCTGTTCCATGAAGAGACATTCCCTCCAGGACAGCAAATCTCACTGACGTCTGTGTTTAGCACAAGGCAATGAGACTGTAAATTTGATCCCCAGCCTCTCTTGCTCTCTGCTGCTCTCTGAGGTAGAGGTCTTTTCTCATGAACCTCAGCAACAGCAGCTTTAACGCTGCACACCTAAGCCACCATGAGCAAGATGGAGTCTTTCCCCAGTTCTAAGAAATGGAAAGAAAGGTTACCTGAAAAGGCCTTTTTCCCAAGCAAGAACTGAAAACAGGTGCAAGCTGGAAGCACAGGGGCTCCCTAAAGTTAGACTGTGAGTTACAGGGTTCATTGTTTAATAGGTGTAGCTACTCTTGATCTTCGCTTTTTTGTCCTTGTGCTTAACTCACTAGGTGTGGTATCTTCTCTTTTCACAGGGAAGTAAATATCCTTTTGACATCTCAGGGCTTCTGCTGCTGGTTTCACACGAACCCACAGGATGGCAGTGTTTGCAGTGCTGCCTAGCTGGACGAGGTCTCCTCAGTGCATGCAGGCAGGTGTGTGCCAGTGCCCTGCTGACTGGGGTCAGTGAGTGGCAGCAGGGTGGTATTGGGAGGGAGGGGAGTAGGGCCTGGAGTGGGACTGTGGTGGGTAGGGTCTAGCCCAAAAGGGTCTTTCACCTGCTTCTTCCCCACCCTCTTCATTTTAGCTTGTTTACGCTGCTTTTCATTTTCTCTAAATGAACAATAAATTTTAGTAAAGCCTTTATCGTAAAAATTCCAGCTAGTTTTTGAGGTTACTGTTACACATCATTATTCTGTTCCACATAAGTTCTTTGGTTTGATACGTATTTCTGTAGCAGTAATGCTATATATCCACATCTGCCAGTATTTAAATAAAGCAATGCACTAGAAGTGAGCAGTCACGTTTTATGCTTCTGATCTCCCTTGCCAGTACCCAGATGCCTAGTTTCAAGGGATATTCAACTTTCAGTGTTAACAGTGTTATAATAATGGGCTAGACCAGGACATGTGCTTGCTGCTCTGGGTGGTGTTTTTTGATTTATTTTTGCTCCAAATGCCTATTTAGATCTTCCATATATATGACAGTCCAGCCTTTTTATTCTACTTGTAGGAGATCAAATGCACTCTGTAAGGGACCTTTCACTAACTCTACCAGTACCACCAAACAAGGATAGGGATTTCCAGTAGCTAGAAATGTCATTAAAGAAAAAGTGAAAGGAGCTTGGCTTTTCATGGAATTCGTTGGTGCTTAGCGTTCTGCATTTTCTTGAAACACTACATGAGATGAAAGTTTTACCAGCTGTTGTGTATTCTTGTTACTCTGCATTGCTGAACCCTAGGAAACTAGTGCTGAGGCTTGGCCAGACACAAGAACACTTTTTTTCAAAAGTCAGCAGTCTCCGTCCGACAGCAGACACAAGGGGGAGCACAAGCAGTCTGCAAGACAGTGCTGACCCCCCCCCAGCACAGACAAGCTGTGGGTAGACAAAGTAGTGGCACGACGCTAAGAAGAAATGTATTTTCTTCTGGTTTGTTTTCAGAAAAGATTTGTGGAGTTGCAGTACATTCTCCATGTAAAAGGTTGGTTTGTGTTTGTAGTGAGTTCCTCTTACATAAGTGTAGAAGCCTGGGAGGAGGCACAAAAAGGCAGTCTGAAAATGTAACCAATACGAATTGAAGACTCATCTCACAGCCTGATCAGTCTGGCTGGAAACAGGAGCCAGCATTTTCACAATGGGCAGTGCTCGGCTGTAAGAATACAGAGTAACTCCCATCATGTGTTGGAGAACTGTGAGCAAATGGAAGGATGCAAAGACAGGGATAATACAGGAAAGATGGTGGGTTATGTTTATGCAGTACGTTCTGGATCTATAGTAGGATTTTAAGACTGCGTTTCTCAGATCAGACAGAGAAGTGTTGAAACTAACCCTAACCCTGATGAGACCTTGAATCAGTGCGCTGTCTGTGTGGATGCATGGGGAAAAACACATGTCAGCCTTAGTATGTAGGAATGGAACACCAAGATTTGCAGCTGATACGTGCTACTCTAGGAACAAGATGAAAGGCAGAGATGAACACTCAATGAGCGAGCGTCATCCAGCCTAGAGAGTGATTCATAGTGATGAATAATGAAGGCATCAGGAAGAATGGAGGATCTGAAAAGATTAAAATCTCTTGGTTTTATTCACTTTTGTTTGCTTTCTCTCTCTCTCTCTCTCTCTTTCTCTTTTTTATTATTTTTTTTTTTTTCAGCTGAAATCTTTGAGTATGGATATGAGAGGGGAAAAAAATGATGGGGAAGAAGAAGTCGGGAAATAGATGATGAGGCATTCTGCCTTGGCATGATAAAAACATAATCTGTGTTTCAGTCATTGCTTGGGTAGTGCTTTGTGGGAATACGTCTAGTGCAGGAGCACAAGAAAAGCTATCAACCTCTGATTCAAAGGGAAAAAAAAAAGAAAGACTTTTTAGTATTTGCCCATAAGTCATCAGAAATAAATACTGATTACACTAACATTTATTATAGACTCTTAAATGTTGCTACATTGTTTGGAATTCATATGTCTAGCATGTACAGTTGTATTATAAGTAGGTATGAATGAGTATATGCTATAAAAGTGTCCTAAGCAGATCTGTCTTTACATTCTCCCCTTTCTCCTCCACTTCTACAGCACCCTCATTTCCAGTGAGCAGAAGAGATCTTGGCACAGCTTAGGGGAAAACTAACCTAAAGCTGTGCACTTTCTCCTACTGGGCATTGCTCAGCAGGGGAGGCTGTTCTCAGCTTCAGCCAGTAGTAGCGGGGGTGGCAGGAGGTCTCTTACAGCAGAGGATGTGAAGCATGCATTTGCATAGGCTGCTTTTCCTTGCCTCCCCTCTGCTCTCCAGCAAGCATGGGTTTATTTTAGCTTTGGCCTTCTGAAGCAGGATTGTTTTTCCCCTGAATAGGTCAGGCTGGGATAGTGCCAGGATACATGGCCTTCCATAGCTGGGGTGACTCGGGAAGCTGGAGATACCTACTAAGTAGACAGTGCCTCTAACTGCTGGGCCTGTGCCCAGTGTCAGAGGAGTATCCTAAGTTAACCTTTGTGATAAACAGCAAAGACAGCCCTAGGCAAAAGGACCTTTGCTGAGTCTGGTGTCAGGCTGAAACAAGTTATAGTGCTGCCCTCTGTTGTTGGAATTCAAAAAAACTCATACAAGGCAATGATGAAATTCAGCCGAACGTTAGTAAAGTGTGAGTAGAAAAGCCACGTGAATAAGTGAACAATTTCATCCACTTGTTTCATATGGTGGTTCAGCCCATTGGTATGTGCCTGCATCTCTTCACTAGCAGTTCAGTTTGTAGGAACAGAACACAGCTAATAATATTGTTCCTTTTTTAGCAGATAGTCCTCATGTCTGATCTTGTGTCCCAGAAGTCATACATTGTAGGATGCTTGTTTGTATTTTATGCACAGGGGAAATACAGAGGAAGAATTTTCTATTTTCTGTTTCTGTAGCTTCTTGTATCTGCTATTTTTCTTATTTTTATATGGAATTACTGAATTTCTCACTTACAAGCACTTGAGATGAAGTTGTATAGAAAGCTAGAATTCAAGGTCACTCTTGTTTGAGTAAAAGCTGTAGAGAATTGTCTAGAACTTTTTCCCCGTAGCTAATCTGTGAACCAGTGTGGAAGCAAAATGAAAGTAGTCTGATATTTCCATCTGATCTGGAGGGAAATCCCATCAAGGAGCATTTCCTAGTCCTAGTGTAGTGCAGCCTTGCCAAACCTGACACATAGGTGACTCCAAACCCTTGCACAAATGCAGATATGCCTGGCAGCTATTGAAAGCAGACATACTGCCCAGACTGTTGGTGGCAGTGTTTTTTTTTTTTAGCTAAAGAAGCTCAGTTCTCAGCATTGCTTAGTGAACACAAGTGACGGCCCTCTTTCAAAGACTGAAAAACTTCTCGCTTTCTGACTGGTACTGAAAAACAGAAAATTGTAGTTCTATTCTGCATTCTGTCCCTGATGGTAAAGGCACTAAATAAAAGCAGAATTGATCCATAACTGTGACACAGCTGGTGTTGTACAGTGAGAAGTAAAAGTAACATCAATCCTGTCAGCAACTGGACAGATTGTTTTACAGTTTGCAGAGGTTGCTGGTTACCTGTTCATGCAGCAATATTCAATATGGATATTTGTATGGGAAGTGCTGAGTCACAGCCTGAACCTCTGATGGACCACCTGAGGAGAGCAATGAGTCAGCAGAGGAGCACAGTGAAGGCAATTCACCTGTGCTGCAGGAAGGGGTGGAGCCTGGCTGCACCCCTCCTAGACCTATTTAAGAGCTGGCTACCAGTGGGGAAGGATCTCTTCTGGAGATCTGCTCTGCTGGTGTTTTGTGAGTGAGCCCAGGATAGGGGTAAGCCTTCTATTTATTTTCTTTTGTTATCATAGTCTGCTTTGCCTAACTCTCTTGTTTATTTGGTGATTATACTATCCTAAGATTTTTTGATTATACAGTATTGAAATGAATCAAACCTTCTGTCAAAATATGTGAGAGTTAATTAATGACTTGTGGAAGTGGTTGTAACAATAGAGGTTCAAGGTTCATCGTTGGTTGCCCCTGCCTTCAGGAACTTGTATTTTAATTTCTGGTGAAGAATACTTTTTCTAACATTTAGGCTTGCAACTTCAAATGGCCTGTAAAGGTGAGGCCTTTTGTCTTTGTGTTGTAAACAATAATCAGTCCCTAACTCTTGGCCCATCTGATTGAAGGTACTGAACCAGTAAAAAGTTCCTGTTCAACTTTTCTTTTTGCTTGGTTTGCTCTTCAGTTTTGGGACTATTTACCCTCATTTGCCAGATTCCAAAAGCAGATGAGGGAGGAGAGACCCAACACCATTAGTTGGCTGAGCTGCTGATTTGTGCAGACAATATCTGTTCCTCAGCCACGATGGCAGGGGGATCTGGTTGACTAGAGCAGTGGTCATAATCTTCTCATTATGTTTTTTTGTTTGATGTGTATTTGTCTCCACCATATCTACATTAGCAACAGAAGAAAACAGGAAGATGAAAAAAGAAAAATTGGTTTTATATGTAGTCTCAGTGATTGAGAGTATTGGTTGGGAGAAAAAAAAGGTAAAATCTGATTGTGCTTTGTTTTTTCCTTCTTAGATTTCTCAGGGATGGGAAAATCAGTGCATCATCTGCTGTGACTGCAGTTGAAGCCAACTTGGCAAAGTTGTTTCACTCTGATTTCATTCCACTTGGCCATGCTCTGGTGTCTGTCTAATCACATTTATTGTGTTTAATTTGTGAACCATTTGTGAATGCAAACAGTTGGTGCAGCTCAAAACAAAGGAAATTCACTTGTGATATAAGAAAGAGGTCCTTTTCCAAAGATAATACTCTTTCACTTTTTGTTTTTCGTTTGTTTTTGTTTTGTTACTGTGAGTTGCTCTGCAGATCATCATCAATTAGTGTGCATTAAGAGCACGTGGGGACAGACAAACCTTAGAGGAACAGACAAATAACAAGCATA